CACTTCAGATGAGTTATTTACACACACATGTCCCTGCTGACTTCAGTTTACCCAACAGATCTGGAGCCAAATTGTTGTCTGCTCTGAAACTGCATGTAATCTAATGCGTGAGAGGGTCAGGTTCTTATCATGCACTTCAGATGAGTTATTTACACACACATGTCCCTGCTGACTTAAGTTTACCCAACAGATCTGGAGCCAAATTGTTGTCTGCTCTGAAACTGCATGTAATCTAATGCGTGAGAGGGTCAGGTTCTTATCATGCACTTCAGATGAGTTATTTACACACACATGTCCCTGCTGACTTAAGTTTACCCAACAGATCTGGAGCCAAATTGTTGTGATGAATTCATTCATTTCTCCACTTTGATATCAAAGATTTTGTCTCCAAATGACAATGGAAGTGTAGAAGTACAAACGGATACATTTGTAATGGCTCATGGTCTATTGTCAGTTGTTTTACAAATATACTTATGTTTGATGATAAGCAACTCTAGTTGGGAATGGTCGTTCTCTACTCTCAAATGGGCAAAAAATGAATTGTGGTCATATATGGGTCGGACACGCTTCAATGCACTTTCAATTTTATGTACTGAATGTGGTATATTGAAATAAAGCAATTTTTATTCTGTCATTGACAGATTTGCCGGCATGAAGTCAGAAAAGGTAATCTGGGAGACTTGTGCACTTCATGAAGAATAACAATCATCAAAATTTTATTTGTTTGTTTGTTATGAACTAGTATGAGTAGACACACGATGAGATTATATTACATACCATAAATATGTAATAGGTTCTACAGAGTAGAAAATATTTTTCATAAACTCTAGATATAGTTGTTATTCATGTAATGGTACTTATGTATTATTTTGTATTTACTGTAAACAAATATGTGTTGAAGAAACAGAAACTTATGTTTAAGAATAAATTTATACATCAGAAATACGGTTACGACAATGGGGGTCATGTGACGAGTATTCTAGAAGATTCGCTAGTGTGTTACGACAGCGGGGGTCACGTGACGAGTATTCTAGAAGATTTGCAAGTGTGTTAAGACAGCGGGAGTCAAGTGACGCTGGTAGCACGTGTTGAGAGCCTTAGAAGTTTCTATAACAGGCAGTATTATTGTATATAAGTACGCTAGACAGTGAGAGAGTCAGACAGAGGCAGAGCCGTAGCAGAGATGAAGCAGGCAGAGAGAAAGAAAGACAGCGATTACGGTCGGCGGGAACTGAGGATAGCAGACACAGAGATCGGAACTATAGTTTGCGGGGACGGACAATTAAGTCTAAGAGCGATAGAAAGTGAGTGAATTGTTGTGAACTATAGTGTGTGTAACTGTGAAAATTAAGTACATTACAAAGTTGTACTGAGGAAGGATAAACAAGTTTTATAAAGAAAGGACATGTATTTTAGAAGAATTAACAAACAAACATACAGAGACGTAACAATAAAAATCATTACCCATACCCTGCTAACAAACACATTAATAAGTGCATTATGGAAAAATATACTTTAAAAGAACGTTTTTTTTTCTTCAAATATTTCCATTTGGGTATTAGTGTGAAAAAAATATGAGATTACTTTAAAAAAATTATTTTATTAATTAATTCAAAACCACGTCAAGTGTTACATAATTTAAGGGAATTTAAATTAACATATATAAAGTGTTAAAATAAACAAAATTGAAAAGTTCTATCAATATGCAAGTCTTATATCTTTTGTTTCATTTTATTTATTATTAAGTCCTATTTCCTACAAAAGAATTTTGTTTTCATTCAAAATGTAACTTTTTCTTCTAAATCTTACTTTCGAAGATGATGGAAAACTTCCTGCCAGTCAATCTTCATAGGACGTCCCGATTTATTTTTATACATTTCAAGAGCATGCCGAACTTGCTGCCGAGCGAAGTGAAAACAACAGAGTCTACGCCAGATGTGTTGCTCATTAATCAAAGCCTGCATTACGTCGTAAGCCTGTCCTGAACTAATAAGATCTCGGTAGTCACAGAGACGTAGAAGGATTTCTCTGATCAACTCTGCTGGGAGGTGTGTTAGCTTAAGACTTCCATCATCTTTAGGCTGTGAAAAGTAACATTTTTTGTGTCATTGTTTACATTTCACATCAATTAAATACAACCAATTTCAATATGAGTGCATTTTGAAATGTGTGCTGAAAAAGTTGTACATGGTCCCAATGAGAACAGAAAAAACACAAAGTTAAAATTTAGTCATTTCTATCTCACAAGCATTATTTAATGTCACAATTCTCTGGAAATGAGCTTACAGTTATGATGTACAAAGTGAAATAAACTATAAAAGTCTTAACACTTACAACTTTTTGACTAACTTTCAAAGACGTTTTGTAATATTCTGTAAAGTATAAGATCCTTACCATACTGTGAGACCACAGTATTTTATTCTGAAAAAATCACATTGAATAATAAAATACAACCTAATTGTAAGGAATCTTTATGGTTCAGTTCAGTGATGAATGACTGAGATTACCACATTTTACCAGGAAAGTATAAAGAACAAATTTTCTACATGGATGAATACAAGAAGTAAAAAAATTCACAAAAATAATCCTGTAGTTAGATTACTGAAGAGGAACGTTGTTACTGAAGTGGAAGTAAATATTTTATAATTGTTTTACTGATAGAATTTCTAACATTTTGCTCTATAGACTGAAAAGTTGGAGCCATTTTCAGTCATTCCATTCTTGTATTTCCAAATAATGACGATGAGACCAACAACAAGGCAGAGTTCTAAAATAATTTGACTAAGTCAAATATTTCCTATTCTGAGACCATTAACAAATCACTACAGATTTATTTTGATGTAAGACCCAACTAATTGATGACACTACAGCTTTAGTAGATTATTTAACATAAATAAAATCCTAAAACTTTCACAAATTAATTAAATTATAGACCCATTCTTGTTCATATGCAAACAATAAGGAACAGATATTTTTAAAAACACAATCATTACTTCTTTGATTTCTATACTGCTGGCAAACAAACAGATCCTCTCAATAGTCCGAAGGTGCTGCTCCCAGAGTAATGTGCTCCCCAGAGGTCGCCCCCAACAGTAGTACTTTCTCATGGTTTTCTTTAGATCCTGTAAGATGGCTTGAAGCATGTGAATATTTTGTTGATTGCTTGCAACTGTAAATAAGAAGTGGACATTAAGTACACATAGTGGCTTGGGTGAAAATTACTTGGAATCCCAAGTCAAATTCATGATAAATATAACATGACCAATCTTAACAGCTGTTCAAGATTGTAAATATTAATATTATATCCAATACCATCATTAACTTTCTCTACTATTACATCCAAGAGGAATTGTGAAGCACAAATATTTTAAAACCTGAGATGTTTTTAAACCAGAACTATCTTGTTAGTTCTAGTAACAAATGACACATTTAAATAGTTCAGTGTTTCGTGCCCATTCTATATAACACCATATCTTATGTCCCTCAAAAATCAAATATATTAATAGAAATATTACAAAAACAGTACAGTCATGGCTACAGTTTAGGATGCTTCTCTTTTATTGAAATGAAACACTAAATTTGTCAACTAAAAAACTCCCTATATTCAATACTCTTTATTGTACGTTAGTCTACACAAATGGAGCAACTACAGTTTCCAGACTAGACTTTTATCTTTTCTTAGATCATAAACACTGGTTGGAACAATACCCACAACTGTTACTAAACTTTTATGTTACTGATCCTTGTACCAGCCTTAAACGTACTGTCCACTAGCTCTTGTACCAGCTATAAACGTACTGTCCACTAGCTCTTACAGCTTAACAACTATGTCATTTAAAGAAACAGAAAACTATTTTAACAATAACAACAATGGCTAATTTAAGAGTTAACAAATATGCTGGTTACAAACATATTGTTACGACAGCGGGGGTCACGTGACGCTAGTAACACGTCATATTCTCGAAGGTTCG